GTCACACATCCTTAGAGACCTTAGTGAAGACTGCATTTCTCCCAGTCTTCACAATCTAAAACTGCACCTCTTCCAGGGCAAACACATGCTTTCTTCATGTTTTCTCACCATTACACAATTTGTACACTTACCTCTTTAATGGGCAAAATTTCGTCAGAGATATTTTGAAATTGTAGTGGCCACTTGGGCTTTTGACATGAAAAAGTTCACTGAGAAGTACTTTGAAACAGAAAGCAAATAAACTCTCATGAGAAGATTGTCTTATTTGTCTAAAAGAAAGATAATTTTGTTAAATGTAGGCCTCATCCTCCTTTTTAATTGCATGGCTTGATGAAATTATCAAGGATTTGAGTTAATGTCCAAACATGCTGTCATTCACCTTCATGTATGTACAGGTTAAATTCTGATTTCTAATACCTAAACTTTCTTTTCTTTCCTTGTAGGGAAAATATTTTACGGTGATAATTTCATATCTGCCTGAAGCCAGTTTCATTTCTTCTGTTCCTTTTTTAAATTGTTTGTTTTGTTACTCTTACTCTCTATTTCCCTCTTGGGAAACCAAATATTTATTGATTTTAAAAAATTGGTTTGTAATGGACACAAAGTATAATTATGATTTGTAATAATGAACATGCTAAAAATAATGATTTGATCATCACATATCATACACAAATACTGATAGTGAACACTGTACCCCCAAAATATGTATAATTAATCATGCTTCAATAAAAAAAGAAATAAAAATTAAAAAATTGGTTTGTCAAGGTCAAATTTCTCATGTTTTAAACATTCTAAAATGCCTACATTGGTTTTATGAATTAATGTTACCACTGTTTCTAAAACTTCTTTAAAATTAAAACTTAAGTATAAGAAAACTATGTTCAACTAAACAGAATGATAACAAAGGATATCTTTTTAAAGGGTTCTTTACTGATATTCTTCCTGGCTTTTTAAAAAAATGTTTTTGCTGTCACCATATATACATAGAATTTCTGAATGTGCAATTCAAAAACGTAAAGGGTAAAAATACGTAGCTATTCCAATTCCATGTAAAGTAAGCCAGCTTTTCAGCATTTCCTATGTATGGAAAAAGTAATAACTTTTAAAGACATTTGCTACTTACATGACAGAATATAAGCAAACTAGGGGTGTCAAAGAGTGCAGCAATCCAAATTGTGAAAAGTCTCTATCCCTTGTTCTCTCCTGGTGTCCTTCCTCAGTGGCTCCTCTTCCTCTGCCAAAATCTTTCAGATCCCCAAATCTCTTGTTGGTTGTGGCTATTTTCTATTTATTTGTCTACATATCTATATATTCTGCCTGGATGATTTTATCTACTCTGGCAATTTTTAGTCATGACTACCAAATTCTTATCTCCAGGCCAGACCTTTTCCCCTAGATTCAGATTCAAATCCAGCTGCAGGTATTCTTTTGACCCCTATGCCTTAGTGCATGCTGCTTCTCAGGCTAACTTACACCTAGACCTATCTCAGGTGTCACTCTCGCTGCCAGCCATTGTTCCTATCAGGCTGAATGACACAGGTACCCCTACTCCCTGTTCCCTTCACAACCTGAGCATCTCCCTCTATTTACATGTAGCATGTCATATTATATCTTCTTTGTGTGTGTTCCATGATAGACGGTAAGTTTATTGACAGCTGGTTACCAATCATGGGTGTAACACATAATACTGCTCAATAAACTGTTGAACAAACAGGTTCCATTTTTAATCTGCATGGGTGCACTTAACAAGACATTAATTCCAAACTAGGTTGTCTTCAGAAACAAAAAATTCAAATTCAGTTTCATAAGCTTCAACCATTTATTACTCTCCTTCTGTTATACATTGAATTGTGGATGTCTTGTAATTAGCAAGACAGCCACTAAAATTGTTTTTAAGGTTTGCTATCACAAAAGTCAAAGGATTTCCATATGTTTACCTATGTCAATTGGTCCCATAATTACTGCTACTCATTCCAAATCCAGTTTCACATAGAAGTAAGAATAGCTGCTATTCGTTGAACATATTTCTATATAAGAAACTTAGTGCCCCCATACACATTATTTCATTGAATCCTCCCCAAAACCTGCTGAAGTAAACTATTATTATGCCCATTTCATAGATAAAACTGAGGTGTAGAGATTGAGCAGCATTTCCAAAATCATATTAATAGTAAGGAGCAGAAGAAACTTAGTGCCCCCATACACATTATTTCATTGAATCCTCCCCAAAACCTGCTGAAGTAAACTATTATTATGCCCATTTCATAAATAAAACTGAGGTGTAGAGATTGAGCAGCATTTCCAAAATCATATTAATAGTAAGGAGCAGAGCTGATTTGAACCTAAGTGTCATTCCAGACATCTTGAGTTCTTAAACATTTTGGTATATGACCTTTCAGCCATTGGAAGGGGCTTTGTGAAGAGTCTGCATATAGTATGCCAATCATCACCAGTTATGGGCCAGACTAAACCTTTTGATTCCAGGCAGACAAAACTAAACAGACCAGTTCTCAGGGAAACAAAAACAAGACTGGCCCTGAAGGAAAAACAAGGACCAAACAAGTCCTGGCCAAGGCACAACCTGCCACACTGAGTGGCCTATCTTAAGAGAGTTTGTGTATGTAAATAAAACTGTGGATTATAAACTTATTAAAAACGAGAATTCAGTTCCCACCAGTTTTTTCCTAGGTCTTCTCCCATGTGGTCTCATGCTTGAAGACCATTGGCCTTTTAAATTAACAATTATATGGCAGCAAGAACTACTGTTTGTTCATGGAGGATCACAGGTTGCATTGATTTTATAGGAGGTATGCATTTTTAACTGACGTTTACTACATTTTTACTCACGTTAAAAAATTATCAAAAACAGAAATGGTGAGGGGCTGATCTTTGAGGGAGAAGTCTCTGAGGGAATCCTAAGAATCCCTGGGGCAGTAGTGGGAGCAATCGGGTGGGGATGGGGCTGTTACTACACTTTGTATCTTGCCTCCCTTGCTCTTCAGGTAACGAGGTTAGGCTGACTCCTGTGAATCTTCAGAGGGAAGTGCAAAAGTGTTTTTTGCTTTTAAATGTCTTGATGGCCCTTGTCCTTATTTCTTCATTTTGGTAATAATCTCAGATACCTCCTGTATTCAGGAAATCAGACTCAAATGAAAAACCATCACGCTCCACTGCCCCCAACTGGTAATACTGAGAACTAATTCTAACAATTGGCCATTAAAAAAAAAAAATCTTATTAGTTATGACCACCCACAATTTAACCTATAAGGGTAAGCCCGTATCCCTATAGGAAATGGTACTTTTTTCAATTTATTAAGTGCCTAATATGTGGCACATAGTAAGTGAACAACCTCAATCCTCAAAACAAGTATTACGACTATTTTACATATGAGGAAACCTTCTAAATGGTAGTTAGGGAGTAAATAGCTGGACATTTCAGAATCTGTCCATGGTACCCTTGGGGTCTATTCTCCTCAGATGTGTGGCCTGACCTTTGGACACCTCAAGGATGACCACAGGGGAGAAGAAACCCCAACATACATCTCACAAGCAACAGAGACGCAAGTACTAACAGAACTGATCTCTCACATTAACTTATTTATTTATTCCTGGTCCTGTCTTCAGGAACCAAGCGGGGAAAAGTGAGCTCCAAGACAGTGAAAATCTGGTTGGCCTCATTCACATTCTTACTTGCATTACTCCCGTCAATCAGTACAGAGCACAGCACAGGGAGATGTTCAGTAAATGCTGTGAAGTCCACATGGAAAAATGGGCCAGCCACTACTAAGGACGAAGACATACCAGATTTGTTTTCTAGTACAGAGCACAGCACAGGGAGATGTTCAGTAAATGCTGTAAAGTCCACATGGAAAAATGGGCCAGCCACTACTAAGGACGAAGACATACCAGATTTGTTTTCAGGAAGATTTCAACTCTGAATCACAGGGAAGATGAATCCAAATATGTGAAATCTAAACTGGGATCCTTTTGGTGGGTCCTGTGGGCCAGGATGAAGCTTGCTGAGAAGCATGAAATGGAAGGGTCAGGGCAGAATAGGATTACTGGTGTTGAACTTTTCAGTGTGGAGTCCTGACCTGAAATATATTTCTCCTAGTACTTAAATCATGTGGCCTTACCTTCCCTCACACATTTATTAAAAAAATACTGTGCCATCAAGCAATGCAACTCCTATAGCTACTATTGGAACGAGGTCATTACTTCAGGCTAGTAGCAGAAAAAATTTCAAGTAGGTTATTTGGTTGACAAAGATTAACCCCTAAAAGCAAGGGGTTTTTTTGTAAAGCAAAGTCAAACCGATTTCCAAAGGAGTACAGTATGGTGGAGACAAGACCATTTCAAAAGCTCCTAAGCACATGTAACGCATGACTAAAAGCACTGTTATGCAACATGAGTGTCGGGGGAATGAATTTCCAACCTCATGACTCATGCTTCTGTGTTACACGTATTACTACATGTTTCCTTCATTTTAAAGAAATGTGAACATAAGGGTGCTATGTAAAGATATTTGACATCCAAAACATGAAAACACAACAGCTATGAGGCTAAGAACGATCTCTTAAATTGATTCCCTGTCACCAGGGCCACCCTTTCGAAGACGGAAAGTTACTGCACCTTTGAAAAGTATGCCCACAGACACAACTTCCTGCCTGAGACCAGCCCAGCTTGACGTTCCACAGCTCGGTCCTGACCGCCCACAAACCGGACAGGCGAGCGAAGGCCCTGGCAAGGGGAAGTAACAATTCCAGAGCAGGCCGCACCGCACTGACTTTGCCTTAACGCAATCAGGGAGAGCTCTCAACCCTGCCCACCGCCAGGCCACTAGGTCCCTCGTGGTCTCCTCCACCCTCCCATAACGCCTCAAGGATGACCTTCGGACCGAAGCCGACCCACCAGTACCTGCTCCAGAGGTTTCCCGGTCGCCGCCCCCCCTCCCCCGGGGTCACTGGTGGATCCCCGAGACTACACAGCTCTCTCGATCACACAATTTTCACCCAACTTTATTGGCTCCAGACCCCGGAGGGCCCCTGGCCGCCCGCCTCCCCGCTAGATCGGACGGGCCCTCCATGACATCTGGCACATTCAAAAACCACTGCGGGACGGCTAGGAAGAGAGCCCTTGCTGGGGAAGCCGGCTCCCTGTGGCGGCGTCAGGGTCACTTGCTCTTCGCCTTCTGACTCTCCGTCTTCTTGGGCAGCAGCACGGCCTGGATGTTGGGCAGGACGCCTCCCTGAGCGATGGTCACTTTTCCCAGCAGCTTGTTTAGCTCCTCGTCGTTGCGGATGGCGAGCTGCAGGTGGCGAGGGATTATCCTCGTCTTCTTGTTGTCACGAGCGGCGTTGCCGGCCAGCTCCAGGATCTCCGCCGTCAGGTACTCAAGCACCGCCGCCAGGTACACCGGCGCCCCGGCGCCCACTCGCTCCGCGTAGTTCCCTTTGCGTAGCAGTCTGTGCACTCGGCCCACCGGGAACTGCAGGCCCGCGCGGGAGGACCGGGACTTGGCCTTCGCCCGCACTTTGCCGCCCTGCTTTCCGCGACCGGACATGTTCACCTCCTGCCTAAAACTCCAGCGAGGAAAAAAAACAGCCGGGCGGTCCGGCCCGGGAACGCAGCGCACCACACCGGAACTGCCTCCACAGACTCTGCGGCTCCGGAGGCCAGTGACGGGCAGGCTCAGCTCCCAACCAGAGCGCCAGCCGAGGGACCGCCTCCTCCAGCCTTCTCCAATCAAACCAGCGAACTTCTGGTCCTCATTTACATAACCGCCCATATGAATACCTAGGCCCGGAATGCTCCGTGTTTGGGCGCCCAGAAGAATTTAGTGTTTATTGAGGTTTCAACCTCCACGCTTGCTCTCAGGAAAAGAAACTTAAGAAATAAGGAAACGTGGTTGGAAACAGAAGAAACCCGGAAGAAGAGAGCTCAACAAGAGGCGCCCCTAGCACTTGAGGTGGCGCCCTGTGCCCGCCGTTGCCGTGCCCCCAGGTGGCTTTCTCGTGTAATGCAGCATCCTCGCCAGGTAGTTACCTGAGCCCCGAGCCCGCGCTTGAGAGCAACACAGCTCCTCGATCGAAAGCACAGCCTCTGCCGAATTCTGCCTGCCCAGTACACGGCAGGTCGCCCGTTCCTTTATACGAGCGCCTGGCCTCTTGTGACCGAACAGTGCGGGCAGCTGGCTCCAAAAGAGGCTTCGTCGGTAGGTGGCCTCTGAACTGTCTCCCGTAGACGATGACACTGGTCTCCCCGCAAAGCTCTGCCGCTCACAGGCTGCCGGTCGTTCTCGCCTATGGGCTCTGAAATTAGAGTGATAGACTAGACGTGAATGCTGTCTGTGCTGACGGAGGAACAGCTCGCTTAGCCGAAATTAAACATCTCTTGTCTTTAAGATGATGGGCCTAAAAAGAGCCCCCGGAGTCCGGGGAGAAGGCGCAGGCGCAGCTCCGTCGCCGAGGCTGCAAGTTGTGGCCTTGGCTTGCTCCGGTGGGTTACGGACCGTGTTCTCCGCGAAGACCTTGAGGACCCCCCGGGGTCTCCTTTTAGATGAGCACGGAGAGTAAAGGAAGCATGGCAGCAACTCGTTCTTGTAAGACCGAATTACGCACTCATAATATTTGAAACAAAGTAAGGTGTTTTTTGTTTATTTTTAATTAGAAATTGCTACTAATTTATTGAGATAATTTCATTTGCCACATTTTCCACAGTTGTACAGTTACACTGCTTTTTGTGTGGATTATGGTATCCATTTAAATTAAAAGTGAAACAAATGTATCCTCTCATTATCCTAATAAAGACTTGATTTCATTGAAGTAAAGTTTTCAAGTTTTTATATTTATGTTCTTACTGCCTAGCACAATGATTAACTTATAGCGTGGACTCAATAAATGTCTGGCGCTGAGAGGCAGTGTATTGTTTCAGTTAAAGCGATCATCCTGAAGCCAGACTGCCTCCATCCAGATCCTGACTTGACCACTTACTAGCTGACCTTCGATGAGTCATCTAACTTCTGTACCTTTCTCACTGTTGTTCTGAATATTAAATATGTTAGTGAACATCAATAACTTAGATATACTGAATAAATGAACACACAAATTTCTGGTGCAGTTTTTAACAAGATGTTCCTGAAAGGAGTTCTGTAAACTAAAATTAAATATTAAATATGTTAGTGAACATCAATAACACAAATTTCTGGTGCAGTTTTTAACAAGATGTTCCTGAAAGGAGTTCTGTAAACTAAAATTTTTGCCTAGATCATGGGAAATTCTTAGACTTTTTAAAATTATTATTATTTTGGACACAATTTTTCATTTTATTGTAAGCCAGAGATTTCTGACTTGAAAATGTTCTAACCTTGATTTCTTAAGAGTAAAGTCAACCTATTTTACCATTACAAGAATCCGTATCTCTTCAAGATCTGACAGTCTTTTCTTCCCTGTGAGTCAAGGATTAAAACCGTGCAGTAATGTCTGACTATTCACAGGTTTTTTTCAGCCACACAATGTTCCCAGGCTCTTTTAATTCATCTTTGACAAGAAAATAAGTACTTTTTGGGTCATAGAGATGAGCAAGGACAGAAACAGTGTAAATTATAAGCATTTAGAAATATAACACATTTTTACCATAAAGTTTTCCTGCTGGAAAGGCTTATTTTCAAGAATAGGGACAAAGAGCAAAATTTACCAAAATATTCATTCCTCAAGATGCTAAGTACCTAGGACAGAGTTATATATATAAATCCATTCTCTAAGTACCGCTGCCTTTTAATGCAGTAAAACATCTCGGAAAGACAGAGTCCTGCCTCCTTCCAAGAGTGGGGGCATTTTACTGAAACTTCCGTTTTTGTTTAGGGATTTTCTTGAGAAAGGAAGGGATTGAGAGCCTCCTGATTGGAGACATGCAGCATAAATAATTGTTCAAAGCCACAGTTGTGGCATCCGTTATTTTACAAGAACTTTTTATTTTTAAGTGGAAGATGTGAGAGCCTCAGATTTGAATGACATAAGAAGAAATTTACAATATTTTAACTAAATAACCATGAAACAGTTATTTGGTTGAAAAGCAAATAAACGCTTTCGGGCCAGGAGGGAGGGAAGCCAGGAAAATCTACAAATTGTTCAGGAGCAGCTGAAAGGGAGGGGAAAGGCATGGGTGGGGTGGGGGGCGGGGAAGCTAGATTTATTGAAAAAAATCTCTTTCTCCACAGGGCCACAAGAGAGAAAAAGGAAGCATTAAAAAATCTCCCCCCCCGCCCCCACCCGCCAACCCCCCGACCCCCGGAGTCCGGGGTAATTGCTTTGAAATCTAATAAGATGTAAAGCATTTCTGGTTCCTATTTCCACATTCATTCAGGATGGGTATTACATAAGACTCCGTATTCTGTTTGCGGGGGAGGGGGGGGGGTATTAGAATGAGAACCAGAGCTGACTAGCTTAGTTAGTTAGGGCATGGTGGTGTAATACCAAGGTGAAGGGCTCGGATCCCCGGACCGCCGGCCACCAAAAGAAAAAAAAAAAAAAAAAAGAGGAGGGAGACAGACAAGGACAGACAACGCGCATGAGATCTGGCCTATTTTTTTTTTAAGACTTGAGAAAAGGCAACATAAATTTTATTAGCTCATATTATTTAAACTTTCAAATATACCATATTAAGTTTTTCTTGAAATTTATAGCACAAATATCAAAAAGTTTTTCCAAAAAAAGCAATTATTCTCGTTCTGCTTATTGGTTCCTGGACTTACAACTGCAGGGAGGAAAAAAAGACAGAGGTGGGGCCTAGAGCTCCACCCACTCATCAAGGTTTTCAAACAGGTCCGCTCCAAGCAAATATAAGCGCTGATCTGGGGCGCACAGGCTTGTTAGCTCCTTGCTTTCTCGTTGCGGAGTTTTCTGAGCGGCAAGATGTCTGGACGAGGCAAAGGCGGCAAAGGGCTGGGGAAAGGAGGTGCCAAACGCCACCGAAAAGTGCTGCGTGACAACATCCAGGGCATTACGAAGCCTGCCATCCGCCGTCTGGCCCGCCGTGGGGGCGTCAAGCGCATCTCGGGGCTCATCTACGAGGAGACACGGGGCGTGCTCAAAGTCTTTCTGGAGAACGTGATCCGCGATGCGGTGACTTACACCGAGCACGCCAAGCGCAAGACGGTCACGGCCATGGACGTGGTGTACGCACTGAAACGCCAGGGCCGCACCCTGTACGGCTTCGGCGGCTGATGCGTGCCCCCAGCTTCTGACTCGAAAAGGCCCTTTTTAGGGCCGCCAGAAAGTCAACAAAAGAGCTGACAACATTTTCGTAGCTTCGTGTAAATATCAGGGCTAGGTGCTTTAGGTGCAGCGTTTCGGATGTTATGAGGACGTTTGCGGCAAAAGCGGCTGCTGGTGAGGCTTGCGGCTGGGGGTGGGGGTGACAGTAACTTCCGGCAGGGGAGCCCGGCGCCAGGACGGAGCCCGGCAGTGCGGCGCGGGGCGCTTAGTCACCTCGCGCTTCTGTGTGCCTTAGAGACGGATGCCGGATCCTCTTAAGTATTAGAACGGGGTAAAGGTCCTCAAAGCGGCTGCGTCCCTCGGCCCTGGACACTTATAGAGCAGCTTCTATGCAAATCAGGGCGGCCGGCCGGGCGCCTCCCATTGGAGGGGAGCGGCGCGCGTCAGAGGGGCGGGTCCTCGGGGCCGGGCCTGCCGGACTGTGGGAGCCGAGGGCGCCGTGAACAGTAAGCAAAGGCCGAGAGCGCTCGGTGCAGCCCCGGTGTGGCGCGCCCGGCTCTTCTCTGCTGCGAGTGTGTTACTCGCTGACATTTTGAGTGACAGGCGACCAAGCTCATAACGCTGGAAGCAAGGCGGCAAAGTGCGGGCGAAGTCCAAGCCGGCCACGGCTCGCGGGCGCCCGCAGTTGCCGTGGGACAGTTGCAGAGTCGGCTGGGCTGGGCTGGGCGGGGCGGGTAGGCGTCCGGGCCTGAGTGCCTGGCGACCGGCCTGGAGTTGGCCGCAGTGCGGCTCCCAGCGGCAAGGAGAGCCGGGTCTTCTGCAGCTGCAGCTCGCCAAGTTGCCAGGAGGCCGTGGTTCATGCCCATCACCCGGGCCATGCTCAGGAGACGGTCACGAGTGGCCTCGTCACAGCTGGGAGAGATGCCCTGGCCTCCGAGTAAAGGCCCTGTTCAGAGCCGCCGCCTGTAGAGCTGTCAAGGGGAAAAGGGCGGCTGTTTGGGTCCTAGTAGGTTCAGTGAAAATGGAGACGGGAGAGCAGAGTAGTCGCCGGGTCCTACCCCTGACCTCGCGGTGCGCCGGGAGGCCGAGCAAGGTAGGGCGCGGGGGCGTCCCGTTGAGCGCGCTGTCCCGTCAGCGGGGGCTGAAGACCGGGGGACCCACCTACGTGCAGGCCTGCAGGGCCGCCAGGGGGGCGAGGCGGCATCCGAAGTCACTGCGACGGCCTCCCTCGGTTCCTGGATCTGTCACTCCGAACCTCACTTCATATGAGGGGATTGGGAAAGAAGCTTAGAGGCTCCAAATGCGGTGTGCGGCGTTAACTAATCGCTCCCAGCTTTGGCTTCCAAACATGGAGAATTCACTTAACTGCAGGGGGGTGGGGGTGGAAGTGCTTTTAGGGGAGTTACCCAGCCCTAAGTGTTAAAGAACTGGAGGCAGGATTCGAACCCATCCTGCTGGATTCCACAGCGCTTGATCTCAGCGCTTATGGGCCACCTCTTCTGCCATGGAGGCTCTCCGTCCTTATTTGCTGATGTTTCACTTCTAAGTACTTTGTCGTACTCCATAAAGACTCAAGTGTATACTTGATTCTGGTGTTAGTTTATTTTCTAGGGCAGCAGGATGGTCCCAGGAGCTAAATTTCTTTAATGCAAGTGAAAAAAGGAGTTACTTGAAACAGCAGACTGACACACTACTGTGCCCTTAATATTCATTCAGTGACCGAATGAGTGAATTTGGGTAGGTAGATCATATACCTGCACTTATTTAATACCTGATTTAGCATGAATCAAATTATTAAGGATGAAGGTTAGGGCACCAGTGGAAAAGGGCAATAAATGTTAGTAAGACAGTTCAAAATATCTATTTCTTAAGTACTTAATTTACCTGGAATTATCTATTTTTTTTTTGTTTGGTTTTTAGAGATGACCTCAATTCTTTGTACCTGCTTAATAGAACCTATATTTTCCCTTGTAGCATAGCTATATTTTGTTCATGTTTTGTGTTCTTTATAAAATAGAACCTAATTATCAGAGCCTGGTAAATATTTTTGTCTATGAGAATGAGTCCAAGGATAGTGCCCATTCCTGTTAGTATCATACCAGACTGCAAACATTTGCAAACCAAAACTGGGTCATGTGTTTTAATAACTCAACAGAATATCTGAAATTGAATCAGACCGAGATTATCTGAAATTTATTAATAAATGACTTACTGCAAATGTTTGTTAAATAACAAACGATTTAAAACTTCTCTTTATACATCTCCCATTACCTTTGGGCCAGATGCTGCTGTCAACTGTTGACCACTTTAGGCTCTTTCGATGTGTCAGCGTAATGCAAGTCTCAAGTTTTATTTCTCCTCCTTAGAAGAGACCCAAGGCTTATTCTCCAGTAAAACCCTAGATTTTATGCTTGCTGAGCCTTCAACTTCAATTTTTATTTCACTGTCACTTTAATTTTTGCCCTTTGGAGATTTTCCTTATTTTCTTGTGAGCACAATAATGCAGTATTTGTGGTGGAAATTTCATTCAGATGGGTGCTTTGCCAGATTCCTGGAAGTAGGCTTCACTAACTTTAACTTGTGATTTTATGTGGTCCCTGACTAGTCTGTGAACTTGAAAGCAGAAATCAGATTCATCTCTGTATGCCTAGAACATCTGACCTAGAATTTTGAATACACATAGGCACTTACTAAAGTTTTGAGGAAATGTTCTATTATTTGGATAATATGGTAACGTTTTAATAAAATCAACTGAGTTGCTGTCCATATATTTCTATTTTCTGAAAGATTATGTACCATCACAATTATCTATTCCTGCCCTGGAGGTAATATTTTGTTTATATTTTCAGATTCACTATCTTTGTTTTTATCTATTTAAACTTTCTACTTTTCCTGAGTTAAATTTGGTAATTTATATTTTCCTGTAAAGCCATATATTTTATCAAAAATAATTATTATAGTATACTTATACACACATGGTATTTCCTAATATTAAAAAACTTGTGCCTATCACCTTGCCCATTTCTAATTTTGTTTTATCTTCTGATAAATGTAAATGACTCTTTAACTCAATTTTTTTGTCCTTTGGGTATCAACTTGAATTCCAATTAATTTTATTTTACCTTACCTTAGGTGCTTTGGCACCTGCAACCCTTAACACACTGATGATCTAATTTAAATGTTTATTTCCCCCCAATTGTAACAACTTTATTTTGATTATTTGGGATAATGTATAAAATATCTACATCTATTATTATATAATCCGGGGAAATAAAATTGTAAGAATGACTTAACGTTATACAGATGATGTCCAAGAAATAATCTTAAGTTTTTGGATGTATCATTCTATTCATTCATTCACAGATTTATTGAGTCCTTAGCATCTTTCATTATAGTAGAGTTAGGCATTAGTATAGTGCTAGGCATTATAGTAGTGGTAGCGGTACAGTCATGCTTTATTCTCAGACACAAACTCAAGCTCTACTCCACTGACCCTCCATGCTCTGTGTCTTAGAATTCAAGGTACATAATGCATCTTTATCCACAGCTGAGGCCCTAGTTATCAATTCTGGAACAACAGAAGAGTCTTTCACTGTCTTCTTTCATTCTCATAAATACTAATTTATAATCCATAGGTAATATCTGCCCAGAATTCTGTATCTTTAAATATTTTCCATAGGCTATTCTTATCTCTGCATGGTAATTTCTTTCATATTCCAATTTTGTGTCTAGGATTGTTTGATGAGCCATGAAGACACTCTTATAGGATCCTGAATAACCACTCCATTCCCTATCCCCAAATGTAACTTGTTTATTGCATAATTTCAATTCAGGAGACAAATGTGAAAATTTCATTCATCCAAATCTATTTAAAGCTTCAGTCTCATGTGCAATGTAGACATTTTTCTTCCCTCATGGCTGGCTAGACCCGTAGCTCAATGACATGGTACGGGGAAGGGGCTTGGTTTATGCTTTCACTTTTCCTCTCACTACAAGACCTTGGAATGCAGTGGAGATCCATGGCTGGCTAGACCCGTAGCTCAATGACATGGTACGGGGAGGGGGCTTGGTTTATGCTTTCACTTTTCCTCTCACTACAAGACCTTGGAATGCAGTGGAGATCCTTGTCACCAATTGTGGGGCAACAGAAAAGTTCCAGTAAGCATCATGTCACATATATTAACTTTGCATAAGTCCCTTAACACTCTGAGTTTCATTTCCACATCTGTTACATGGTAATAACACAACTCAGGATGCTGTGACAATTAAAAGGGATAATATAAGCAATAGTGGCACGTTGCCTGACACTTATTATACATTCAATAAATGGTGGGTGTTACTGTGATGATAATAATCCATTTCTACCTCACTCCCTTGTGTCTGTTTAGGCCTAATTAGCTTATAGCCTGCTCAAGCACAGAGAGATTGAAAGTACAATCTATCCCTCTTTAGTATCTCTTTAATTCCCCTTTAATTATCTCTAAATCACTGTAGAAATACTAATCATCTCATTTTTTTTCTAATTTTTATTGAATCAAAATTGATTATATGTATTTTTTGTGTTCAACATTGGGATATGTTGATCAAATCAATATTACTAACATATATATTGTTACAAATTGTAATTATTCTTTATGCCCCTTGTCCAGTCCCACCCCATGCCCTTTCCTCTTCCCTTCCCCCCTCTAATCACCCTAGATTTCTTCTCTCCCTCTGAAAGAATAATGGTTACTCTGTTGATTTGCTACGCAAATGATCTATCCAATGCTGAGAGGCGTGATCAGGCCCCCCAATACTATCATAGAGCAGATGTCTCTTCCATCACTATGAAATGGGCTCTGTGGAGACAGACATCATCCTCCTTTCTTTATCTCTGCTGGTGACTCTCCTTGTGTTAAGGCACTCCATTGGCTGACGGACATTCTGCAGGGTGGTTGTGGCATCTAGCCACCTTCATGGCAGCCATGGTTATCATGGTGGCTGTGGTGGGCCACCCACATGGAGGGGATGTTTTTGGTCTGCTCCATGGTGCTGGCAGTGTGCCTGGTTGTGGAGA